TTTCAGGATATTTTTGCAGATCCTAAACTTCCTATTTTCTGAATTTTTTTAAGTTTTTATTATAAACTTACACATGTTAAAACTTTAAGTTTCTATAGTTTTCAAGCTTTAGACCCAAAATACTTCCTATCAAAGTTCCTCCAAAGTTTTCAAATATTTTTGCTTTAAAATCAAAACTTTTCTAAAAAGAAGTCTCAATTTTAAAGCTCCACCCGCCAGCAATAAAATATTAATTATTTCCTCAGATTCCGAATCGATGAATCCTCTCCAGTGGGTCACCATCATCTCGTCCTGTCCGCCACAGGAGACTTTTCCTCCCATTCAGCTTTCCCCCATTTCTTATATGGAAACTTTTTTTATTTTTATTTGATGTAGTGGATGTTGTAGTTGTGGCCGTAGCTGCTTTTTTTATATATTTTTTTTATTTGTTTGTGTTGTTGTTTTAAATCCATTAGGATATGACAACCCCCTGGTTAAATTCAATTAAATTGTTTTCTCTTTGGGTTTACATTTCTTGGCAACTTTATAATTGTTTCATGTGTTTAAACCACTGACGCAGCCGGCGTCGCGCCAGGATGCAGGATAATATGAGTTAGAGCGAGTCAGGACGAAGGACTTGGGACTGGCAGGACGCAGGAGGCAGGACGATGGGCAACTGGGGAGAACGCCAAGGCGCAAAGCTAAGAAGCAGCATAAGAAATGTACGACTCGTGCAACTGCCCAAGGTAAAGGACATGAAAAAAGGACGAAACGGCGACAGAGGGCGGCCCAAAATCCAGGCAAACAGAAACCAACCAACTTTTTCACTAGCCTCAAGAGATTTTCTTGTTTTATTTTATATTTTCTTTTTTTTTGTTGTACTTTTTTTCCTACACCCCCTTGCAAGTTTTTCCCACCATAGTCTCCTCATGTCCTTTTTAGGTCCTGGCCGTGGAATTCGGTTTGCAGTTGTTGTTTTCTGAAATAATCAACGTAAAGGAGGAAAAAAAAACATCTTTTTGTTAATTTAAAATAAAATAGATGAGAGATTTTTATAAAAAAAATAAAGCAGGAATAACTAACAAAGAAAATTGAAAATATAAAATTTTTATTAAAATATATTTTGTATTACTTGAACTAGTTGGGAGTTTTATAAACGAAAAGACAAAAGAAGCCTTGATTTTAAGCTGTATTTTTCCAGTGACGAAAGTTGTATAAAGCTTGTTGGGGGACTGTGATATGACTGTGAAGTTAATTACAATGATTTATTGACAAAAATTAGTCCTACAAGCAATTATTTAAGCCTTTAATTGAAAAATACCAAAAAACTCCTCCTAAAAAAAAGAATCTACTTCAAAGAATCTAATTATAGTACCCAGTAATATCCACCCCAAAAAAATCTAAACTTTTTTTTTTGATAACTTGAAAAGCCAGCAGCGATCACTGATGGAAGTTGGCAGTTTTCCCTTCACTTTCGGTTTGTCACATGGGTCTCTTACTCTGTCGCCCCTCAAAAACATATTTTCGGGCATTCCATCTTGAAACATGAGTTACCTTTGTAACTCCCCCTCCAAAAAAAAAGGAAAACATTTATTTTCCCCATTTGGTTTTTTTTTTTTGGACAGTCACAGTTCGCGAAATCACAGCGGCACACAACTCCTTACAAAAGGCACAAAAAAAAAATTAAATCAAAAAACAAGAAACAAAATCCTTGCCGGCGGTGGAGGAGGCTACATTTTTTACATGTGGTGACTGTGACGGTGACGTCGACATCACCGGCGGCTGACGGACCAGAAAATAAGCATTCACTTCCACCTTTCGCCTTCCACCTTCCGCCTGCTACCTTTTAATAATAATAGTACAAGGTATGTTAAAATTTTTGAAGGTAAAAACTACTTTAAAAAATTTGAGAAATATGTATTTTTTAAACAAATTTTTTGATAAAAAAACTATACAAAATACTATACGTACTATACTACTTACAATACATATACTATATTAACTATACTATACTAAAAAACTATTGTAGAAAATATACTTTCTAAAATAATATGATTGCATTTAATGGTTTTAGTTCCAAAATAATTTAGTAGAATTTTATGAAAATTTTTACGATGAAAATAATATTAAAAAAATGGCATAGAACCATTTCAAAACAAATAATTTCTGCAGCTTATTTTTGGTTTCAGCTTCAAAAACATTTTAGTCATACTTCTTCACATATATTTTTAAATCCCCGCCTAATATTTTGAAATTCCACAAATATCTTAAAAAAAAAAAAACCGTATAACTTATAAAAAACCCTATTTTGAAATAAAAATTAAATAAAGTTATTTATTCAAAAGACACTATTCTTGACTTTTGGGTTGCAGAGTAAACGGCAAGGCCGAGCCAACCACAGCTAGGTTGGCTGTGACCCACCCCTCTTAGGTTGCAACCCAACCGAACGACCACCCACCCACTCAACCAACCATAACCCCCTCTCCCTCACCCCTGGTGCATTTCATTATTTTCAGGTGAGCGGAGGGTGGGGGTTTTGGTTTCAAGAAGGCATCGCGCAAATGTTACAAATATTTCAAATATTTAAAATGCCACAAATACATGTAACATACACCTATACTTTTGTATATTAATGTGAGTGTGTGTTTGGGTGTATGGATGTGTGTGTGTGTGTGGGTGTGGGTGTTCCTAAAAGTTTCTCACTGAGACCTTTTTGCATTATTAATGGCAAATTTCAATTAGCCTTTTGCACTAAACGCAGCCAAGCGAGAGCAGTTCGAAAAGTTGTTCCAAACTAACCGCAACACAAATTAATTATTAACTGCTTTAGTATTTCAGTTTTAAATTAACAAAACACATTTTGAAAAAGGTTTTTAGAAAATATGATGAACATTTTTAGCTTTTTAGGAAATTATTAGATTTTGAAAAAATATTAGTTTTGGTGATTTTTTAAAGGGAGCGTTTGAGTAAAGGTTTTATTTATTAGAATTTTGTTAATTTTAATTACATTTCTTAAATTGAATGATTTATATAAATAAAAGACTTAATATTCAGCATGATATTCACAAACTTATAAGCTAAATATTTGTTCAAATTTATTTTTTAAATTACAATAGTAATGAAAAGTAATGAAATATATTATTTAAATATATCTATCTTAAAAGCTTGTATGTAATAATTTTCTTTTAGTTTTTATCTTTATAAAATGTATAAAATTATAAAATTAAGACCCTTATTTAGATCAAAAAAGCTTCCTAGCCCGCCCTCGGTAATTTGGCAATTTTGTGTTTTTGTTTGGGTTTTTGGGGGCAGGACGAGTCGAAAGCGGAAAGTCAATTCCAGGAGCTCCTTTGGGTTGTGTTTTGTGTGTGTGTGTGTGTTTGTGTGTTCACCTGTGGACATATTTTATATCCTATGTATATTGAGGTAAGGACTTCCACTTCCACTTCCTCATTCTCATCCTTATCCACATCCTGATCCACTTCCGCTTTTACTTTTTGGTTGAAATGTTAGGAAATGAAAGATAAGCAAAAACCCGAACACCGAACCAAGCCAAACCGTGTTCGAAAAAAATTAAAATAAAAATTCAACTCCAAACAGAAACAGCTTGAAAAGGTAAAGTTTCCCGCTGCCAGGATCTAAACTAAATTATTTAGGGATAATTTGAGTGTGCAGCATTTTTGTTATGATTTCTCCTGCTGCACTCATATTTACATATGTCCACCAGAGTTCCACAAAAAAAAAAACAGAAAAACTGAATAAAATCAAAATAAAAAGGAAGTCATCGCCGAGTTGCTAACAAAAGAAAATCCAGTTGGTCCAAAAAAAAAATCAAACCTGAGGAAGGGGGCTATGTTGGAATGTCTTTGGTTATTTTGCGGTTTGTTGCCGTCTGTGTATGCGAATATGTTTCCCTTTTATGGGAGCCAGTTGCTCCCTTTTTCATAACCACCACCCACCAGACTCCACCCTGATCCCCCCATACCACTATTCTACGCTGTCTGCCCAATGTCCTTGCCTGATGTCCCTGTTTGTTTTTGGGTTCTACAGAGAAAGAATCTTATAATAAAGCTTACCTGATGGTGAATAAATTGTTGGATAGACTTTCTGTGAGTGTATCCCTTGTCCTGGTCCTGCTCCTTATCCTGGCTAGTGCCCACGGCCATCCTCATCCTCCACAACGCAGTCGTCGTCGACGTCGTCGTCATCTTGTCGTGGCTGTGCGGCTCCTGCGGCAAATTAAAATTAGTTGTTTACTTTGTGCAACATAAACAAATAAGCGCGACGACCAGAGAACCAGACCACCAATCCTCCAACCATCTCATCCGGACTCGTATTCGTATTTGGATTCGGAATAACCGCATCTCCGCATCCGGAGATCCTCCAGCAGCCTGTCCGACTGCCTCCTGTCCGGGAGCATCTCTGTGCCCCACCGTTAAGTTGAGTCTATCGAAGCATTAAAAAGAAATCATTTATCAGGACGACAGACAGATGCGGCGAAGGATGTTAGGGAATGCAGAGGGCAGGGAGCGAAGAAACTGCAGCGAAATGCAAATTGAAATACGGCCGGAGAGGCAGCCGTAGCCGAGAGATGGATGAAATAAGATGAGATGAGGACCACTCTCCGGACTGTTGAGGCAATCCCAAATGGAAACTGTCATAATTCGCTGGGACAGCACTTGAGCCGACACTCAAGGTTGTCATAAATCTGCTCGGCTAATTTTCTACATTTTTTCTCTGAAAGGGGGAACGAAATATATTTAACATTGTGTCATAAAAGGCTCAGAGGATAAAATTAGAAAAACTAATCATTTAATAGGTTTTTCCTTGCAAAAAATTAAAATAAAAATATAATACCCTTGCAGTGTATACATATGTACATATATGGCTATATCGGATGGGATATTAAAATTTTGAAAAAATGGCACAAGCTTCACAAGCTGGTAAAAATATATAAGATTACTTCAAAAAATAATTGTAGGATACAGTTGAGACATAATAATAAAAAAATGGCTTCGAGATTCGCAGGTCTATAACATTTAATGACGATATGATATATTTTTAGAATAATGGTAATATTAATATTATCAAAACCATATATTTATGGAATTGATTTTTTCGTAGTTGTTGCAATATGTTGCTTCCATCAAAGTTGTTTCGGATGTAAAACAAAAAATAATAACCAAAAAAATAAACAAAAAAACAGCAAGGCGTTTTCCAAGAGTACTTCGTGGAGGGATGATGTTCAGTGTCACTTGAAATTTTAAGGTTGTGGGAGTTGGCACTCCTCCGAGATCGAAAATTAGTCGGGGCTTACGGAGACGGCTTATCCTCCTTCTTGCCCGAATCCTCATTTTTAGGCTTCTTATCGTTTCCCTCCTGCATTACCTGTAGCAGTTGCTGGCGCTCCACGATTTCCCGCTGCAACTGCTGTTGCCTCAGATAATCTTGCGTGTGGCATTCCATGGCCCTCTCCTTGGCCCTCTCGAAGATGGGCATCAACTGGCCGGTCTGGCCCAGCTGCTTCAGCAGCTCCACGATGAACGGCAAGTAGTTGTGGCGACGACGTTCGTTCTCTCGCTTGTAGCGACGCTTCTTGTCCTTCTCGAACTTCACAAAGGATCCCAGAGTGGCGATCTGCGCCTGACGCTCGCCCTCACTCAACGACGAGGGCTGGTGGACCAGCAGCTGGATCTGACGCTCGTAGTATCGCTGGCGATCCGACACCAGAGCCATCAGATTGAAGTGAATCTCGCCCACACTGTAGCGGTGCATGCGGGCCTCGATGATCGGACGGACGACGTCCAGCCAATTTTGTTCCGGAGCGATCTCGGCCAGCTCGATGGGCCCCTCGCGCATTCCGTCCAGCTCATACAGACGTCCCTTGATGGGCATGAAGCCCACAAAGTGATACACATCGGCATCCTCGGTAGGATTGGGCACGTCCATCTCGAAGAGCACCGGACGGGCGAAAGAATTGTGCACGGTACGGATCTTGGACTCCTGGCTGAGGGACATGCCGCGCATTATCGGATCGAGGTTCTCGCAACCGGACTTGAAATTGGTGAGAGTTTCTCCCAGATCGATGTCTGGGTGCTGGAGATTCATTAATAAACTAAGTAGTGCCTGAGTGGCACAAGCATTGGTGATAACCTGAGGATAGAGACATATATTTATTTTCTAAAAACTGAATCTATTGTTTTTAAAAGAAAATAATAATTGTTGAATGAAATCTTTTCCACTTGCACGTTTTTTCCTATAATAATGTTGCCAGACCTCGCAAAAAGCTCACAAAATGTCACATAAACGTATAAGCATGACTCGCGAAAATAAAAATCTACATACAATATTCTAGATTTCTCCATTGGATCAACTCACCTGGCGTACGAAAAATATATCGTTACGATCCGTGACAATACGGCCAGTGGGCTTGTCATCCTGCATCCATTTGAACAGAAAAATTAGTCCATGAATGGGATCCAGATGATGGAAGGCTGCAGCGTCCAAAGTCCATATCTCCTCCACCTGAGCACCTGTGACGCCAAAGCCACGGATCAGTTCGGTAAAAACACCCGGGTCGCTCTCCACCAGACACCAGGTGTTATCAGCACTGGCGCCTGGAGCTGGGTTCTGTGAAACGGCTTCTGCCATTTTAATATCGGCTCACAGAATAGTCTCGAAATAAAATTTTCAATTTTAACACAAATACAGGGCGTATTTATTTTTTTAATTAATTTTTCTTTTGGGCTTTGAAATACTTGAAATTTCAACAAACAGCTCCAACAAACACCAAGTATATGAGCTCAATGATTTTTAGATTCGACTTGACACACAAGGCAGAAATTGTCGCCTACTTTTTCAGAGAATGAAAGCACGTGGTTGAATCGCTTGGTGTGACCGTTTTTTTGCATTAGGTGTGGTTTCATTGAAAATGTAAATGTGTTAACACTGGCAGACAATCAGTTGGGTCACGAGAGACAAGCTTATATTTTAATCTATGTGACTTGGTTAAAAATAAGAAAGGAAAGCTTTTGGGCGGAACCGAAGTTGATATACCCTTGCAGTTAAAACCGGATATATATCGCAAACATCGGATATAGTTGGCCGATCCTTATGAGAATATGATAATATTATAATATTATAATAGAAAATCTAAAAAAAGTCCCAAGCTTCTATCTTCAAATATATCAAAGTTGGTATTTCTACCAAAAACCATTTCCGATTAATCAGTTATATGGCAGCTATAGGATATAGTCGGCCGATCCCCGTCGTTCCGACTTATTGCATTTCCACGACCACCACCCCCACCTCTACCACAACCACTTGTACCATTAATTATTGAAACAGTGACTCCGGGCTATTGCAAAATTTATTAAAATTTACAAAAGAGGTGGAAATTTTGACAATAAGCAGTTCCAAAAATATAAATTTAAAAGCCTAATTATTAATGATTATTATGAGATTAATGATCCTTATGAGAGTTTTATAATAAAAGCAATTTATTGGAAAAAAAAATCGGAAGGAAATTGCAAGCTTCTATCTTTAAAAATACCAAAGTTGGTATTGTTACCAAACATCGAATACCATTTCTGATCAGTTAGTTATGACAGCTATAGGATATATAGTCGGCCTATCCTTGTGAAATTATAACATGGCCAGAGCCAGAGCCAATCAAAATTGTTGCATTTCCACAACCACCACCACCACCACCTCTACCACTTGTAGCATTAATTACTAGTACAGTGACTCTTTTTATTGAAATTCAGAACAACTTTTGGAATACAGAAGTTCCAGAAATATAAATTTTAACATCCTTAGAATTTGTCTTGTAGAACATGCGGGACTGCGCCTATTTATGCCACTTGTTGTAACGATTACGTAGAACGGTTTGCATCTCGTTGGGGTAACACCAATGTCTGGTCAGCTGCTCGATCCTCTGTGGAATCCTGCAGCCATCAAATCGGACGTGGCACACTGAAGATGGAGAACCACATTATGCAACGTAAAGGGCTATAGATCCCTGGAACTTACAATTGGAGGCGCATTTCGCTGACAATTAAGATTCAGTATTAACTTTTTCGTCACACTTGTCCCCGCATGACGTTGAATGACCTCCAGTTGGGCTCTTCACGAATCTCTTGAATGGTTTGGCGACGGGTTTCGTCACTACCGGACCGGGACCAGCACGCTTATTCGGTTCAAAAACCGAACGACGCTTGTGGGTCTGCTTGGGATTCTTCTTGTCCTCTAGGGCTTTAGCTGTCACCATTTTGAAATAAAATTATAACTGACAAATACTAATTTAAAAACAAGAAAATTCCGACAAAATATTTTTAATTTTCAAAAAATATCAGACTCTCAATTTTATATTCGACCTCACAGTTTCGAGACCGAACTTTGAATGACTAGAAATGGGAAAGCAGTTTGGGGCTACGATTTGACATTTGGGTTTAAGGCCTTATGGCCTACTTGGGAAAGAAATATTTATAGAAATTTAAAAATATTATTTGAGAGGAAAATATTTACCAAAATTAAATTCAAAATTTATAAAAAGCAAGTCCTAAAATAATAAAAAGCAAACCCAAACATGGAAAAGCAATTCCAAACCTAAGATATAAGATAAATAAAATAAAAGCTGGCATCACTGATCTGGTTTGGCGTTAATAGTCCTTCTTAGAACTTGAGAGGAAATACTTCACAAAATTAAAGTCCAAACACGAAATAAATAATAATAACCTGAAAAGATCGAGTCCAAAAATAAAACAAATGCCTTGTATATCCTGCTTTGGACTTGGGAGGAAAATTCCCACCAAAATTCAAGTCCAAAATTCAGCAAAGCAATACCAAACATAAAAAATATGCGATTTGGCACCACTGCGAAACGTTTTGGCCCTCATACAGACCCTTATTTCCACGTTATTTCACTCTTAAGTTTAAACTTAAAAAAAGCAAGTCCAAACATAAGATATAATTATTTATGCATTTCCACGACCACCACCCCCCCCTCTACCACTACCACTTGTACCATTAATAACAAATACAGTAACTCCGGGCTATTGCAAAATTTATTAAAATTTAGAAAAGGTGGAAATTTTGACAATAATCAGTTCCAAAAATATAAATTTAAAAGCCTAGGTATTCAACCAAATTTTTTGAACATTTTATAAGTCAAGTAAGCCTTATATAAGCCTTGCACGTCAGCGTCTATTTCTGCCTCTTGTTGTAACGATGGCTTAGAACCAGTTGCATCTCGCTGGGGGTCACACCAGCCTTGGCCAGACCACAGATGTTTCCCAAGCACTGAAGGCACATTTGCTGGCCTCTTGCTCGATCCTCTGTACACTGGCAGCCATCAAACTTGACGTGGCACACTGAAGATGGAGAACCACATTATAGAACTATAGGGCTGTAGATCCTTAGAACTTACGATTAGTCTTGCGTTGACATTTCCTTTTCATGATTGATTTTACTTTCTTTCCACTTTTACCCCGTTTATGACAGTTCTTAGTGGACCGCCTCTGGTTCTTGGGTTTAGCGCAGGATTTCCTCTTAGAGACTCGGCTCCTTCTATTCTTTCCCTTGGGACTCTTCAGGGCGGCACTGCCACTCTTACAAGCCTTGGATGCCGCACGGCGCATGGTGGTCCGCTTTTTACGGCCACTGTCCATGAGCGCTGTTCCATTACCCATATTGAAATCAAGGAGTAAAAAGGGAAATAAAATACTATTTCGAAAATAATTTCTAATTTTCACGACGAAAATTAATATAAATTTAAACTTTTAATTTTAAATTTGTCCTCACAGTTTGAAGAGCAAATGTAGAATGACTAGAAATGGGGTAGGGCTCTGGGGCTACAATTTGACATTTGGGTTTAAGGCCTCAAGGCCTACTTGGGAGAGAAATATTTGTAGAAATTTGAACATATTATTTGAGATGAAAATATTTAAATTTGGAATTTAAATTTATCAAAATTTAATTCCAAACGTAAAAAATGCAAGACCTAAAATACAATAAAGAAAATTCAAAAATGGAAAAGCAATTCCAAAAATAAATATTATATGATCTGGAATATCTGTAATCTGGTTTAACGCTTTGGAGAAAATACTTGCAAACTATTTTTCTTGAATTCTTGATAAACCCTTGCATTTAAAAGCGTATTGATATATCGCAAACATTGAATATAGTTGGCCGATTCTTATGAGATCATAATAAAACCAATTTGTTGAAAAAGGAAATGTAAAAGAAATCGCAAGTGTCTATCTTCAAAAATACCAAAGTTGGTATTGTTACCAAACATCGAGTATCATTTCCAATCAGTCAGTTATATGGCAGCTATAGCATATAGTCGGCCGATCCTTGTGAAATTGTAACAAGGCCAGAGCCAGAGCAAATAAAAATTGTTGCATTTCCACAACCACCACCACCACCACCACCACCACCTCTACCACTTGTAGCATTATTTACTAGTACAGTGACTGCGCCATAAACATTTATTGAAATTCAGAAACAATTTTGGAATACAGAAGTTCCAGGAATAAAAATTTTAAAATCCTTAGATTTTGTTTTGTAGAACACATAGGTAAGGGTTATGCGGCACTGCGCCTATTTGTGCCACTTGTTGTAAGGATTGCGTAGAACGGTTTGCATCTCGTTGGGGATGTGTCTGGTCAGCTACTCGGTCCTCTGTGGATTCCTGCAGCCATCAAATCGGACGTGGCACACTGAAGATTGGGAAACACATTATGCAAACTATAGGGCTATAGATTCTGGAACTTACAATTGGAGGCGCATTTCGCTGACCATTAAGCTTCGGTATTATCTTTAGTTTCGTCACACTTGTCCCCGCATGACGTGGTTGGGCTCTTCACGAATCTCTTGAATGGTTTGGCGACGGGTTTCGTCACTACCGGACCGGGACCAACACGCTTGTTCGGATTAAAAACCGAACGGCGCTTGTGGGTCTGCTTGGGATTCTTCTTGTCCTCTAGGGCTTTAGCTGTCACCATTTTGAAATAAAATTATAACTGACAAATACTAATTTAAAAACGGGAAAATTCAGACACAATATTTTTAATATTCAAAAAATATCAGACTCTCAATTTTATATTCGACCTCACAGTTTCGAGACCGAACGTTTAATGACTAGAAATGGGAAAGCAGTTTGGGGCTACAATTTGACATTTGGGTTTAAGTCCTTAAGGCCTACTTGGGAGAGAAATATTTATAGAAATTTGAAAATATTATTTGAGAGGAAAATATTTACCAAAATTTAATTCGAAATTTAACAAGAAAGGAAAGCTAACTTCGGGCGGAACTGCAGTTGATATACCCTTGCAGTTAAAACCGGATACAAAACTGGATATATCTTAGTATACAGATGTCTCCTTCACTGCGTTGCACACTTTTGGACAAAATTATAATACCCTCTGCAAGGGTATAAAAACACGATGATTCATCTTAGCTAATTATGATAATTTTTCAGGTAGGTAAAGGTAAGATTTTTATAACCTGTCTTAAGATTTCTCTCATATCTGAAGTGATTTAAGAGATAACTTCTTGTCAATGGAATTTCCGGATTGTATAAAATAAAATTAGTCATTTCAAAAATGAAAATGGTGTGTTTTTGCTGGGAAGCTTTAATCAGAAGTGGGAAATGTATATTTATTAAATTAGATGATATATAGTTTTAGTTATTTAGTATTCAGATTATAAACTTTATAAACAACATATGCATTTGAAAAACATAATAAGCTTAATATTATCGTTGATTTTGTTTTATTTCGAATTAAATTTTAAATAACTTTAATATTAAGTTTGTATGTAAGACAACTATATCTTTTTTTGGTTACTTAGATTTAAAAATATATCTTATATATTGATCTTCTTATAAAGCACTTCATATCTTCACTTCACTTAACTTCATATATTTTCTTTTGTGAATATTTGATTAAAAGTTAAATTTTAAAATGTTATGAAATGTCGGAAGGTTATCTTTATAGTTTATTTTGTTTAATTACAAAGTATAGTTTAAGTTTCAAGCCTTAAAATTTTAAAAACTTTATCGTAAACTATACCTAGAATACCTTCTCATGATTCTCATGTATTTTTAGCTTAAAATAACAAAAAAAATGACAAAAAGTGACAAAAAATGCCTATAAAAGTTTAACAAAAACCTGTATCCTTTTGCAAGGCTGAATCCTTTCTACAGTTATGACTTCCCCATACTAGTATTAACCGCAGTTCGATATCCTTCGAATGAATGAAGCCCTAATGAGCCGCAATCGATCAACTTTGCTGATATGTGGCACACCCTAATGCTCATATATCCTACTCACTGTCTCTGTATGGGTCTATGGGTATATGGATGGAGGCGTGGGCGTGGCAAATGGCGTCGCATTGCCAGGGGATTAACAGGAACTGGCTGTGGCAGCAGTGGCAGTGGTAGAGACAGTGGCTGCCTGAGGGATAATAAGTGCATTGGAGCATCAAATCAATAAAACGCGCACACTGCCCACGGTCGCCTCACACAAACATATACACATGGGACACAGTGGACTGTGGAGACTGGGGACAGTGGAGAGTGGACATTGGACATTGGACAGTGGGGGGGGTACTGTGAACACTGGCCATGCGGGCCTGCCTGCCCCCCCCAACCCCCTGGGCACCAAGAATTCGCTGCTGCATCAGTGGCTGCAATTGCGAAACATTGTTAATTTATGCAAATTTAGCCAACGCCGCTCGCTTTGTGCAACGCCAATGAGGCACGAGAGTCGAGAGCTGGAAGCCACCGCACCACCACTGCAACCACCGCCAACGTCATGGCCAAAGCCGCGACCGCAACGCCAACAACATTAACGGAGGAGCCCATAACACCAGATGCAGATGGCGCCCGAGTAGCGATCCACGTCGGGGTAGGGTGTGGGGTTAGGTGAGGGCGGTCCTCCCACGGCGTCGGGGAGGTTCCACTGCTGTGTAGGGGAGTAGGGACCATGTCCCCCTGCGGCGTCTGGGAAGGGAAGCCATGTGGGTAGGGAGGGTCCTCGTGAGGCGTCTGGTAGGGGAAGGTAAGGGGAGGTCCTCCCGCGAATAGGCCAAGAAGGGTGCATAATTTCGGCCCACCGCCTTGGCTCATTTGCATGAATGACGCTGGCAAGGCACACGGATACGGACCTGCGACCTCAAAGCCTATTTGGGTGCCGAGCGAATTATCACTCACTTTACCCAACCAGCTGTTTTCTCATCGATGGAGGTTACCTAGTGGGTATAGGTATAGGTTTTAGTTCCTATTACTGTCTTGGAAGACTATTCTAAGATAGGTCTTGGATAAGAAGTCCTCTTCTATGTATTCTAGGTGTTATAGAAGTCCGAATATGCGGTCCAGATTAAATTCAATTGCTTATATACGCCCTGCTATTTTAGAAAACTATTCTATAAGAAATCTTGTATGAGAAGTGATCTTCTATGACAGGTCTAAGAAATAAGAAACCCTCCTCTATTAAAGGTCTTGTATAGGAAATCCTCTTCTATGAGAGGTATTATTTGCGAAGTCGTATTTTAAAAACCCATGTTGACACTACATACTAGTTTAAAAGACTATTCTTTAGGAGATTTTGTATAAGAAGTCCTCTTCTAGGAGTGGTCTTGTATAAGAAATCTTTTATATCATATAAGAAATCGTCATATAAATCTATCATATAAAAAATCGTTCCTTTTCTCATTGATGGAGGCTTACCAGTGACTTCGGTATAGATTTAAATTTATAAGGGCACTACTTTTTTGAAAGACTAAGGGGTATTTTATAAGAAATCCTCGTTTCTATGAGTGGTCATGTAAATTTCCTTAGTAAACGGTCTTCTATAGGAGATCCTCTTTTTTAAGAGGGGTTATATGAGAAGTCCCCTTCTACATATTATATGTACTATGTGAGATATATATTAAGAAACCCCTTTTAGGAGAGGTCTGTATAAGAAATTCTCTTTTTATGGAAGGTCTAATAAAAATTCCTTTTATAGGAGAATTTCTTAATATTTTTTAATTCATAATTGTATAATATTCAGTTAATACCAAGTAATAACTTAATAAAATATCATTGTAATAACCTTTGTTTGCTTTAGGCTTTTGAAATAAAATGTGCAACGCCAAAATAAATAAACAAAACTAAATAAAAATGTAAAATAAATAAAGACCCATTAAATAAATATTCCAATCGAATAATTATTAAATGCTATGTACAACCAATTTGCAGACTTATGACTATAATTATCTAATTCGCAGAAAGGTTAAACATTAGAATCCTAATCTCTTGTTGACTAGAAGAGCTGGAAAAGTTTGGCCAAGTCTTTGGTGTCAGGTGTTTTATTTGCGCTCAGTGTATACATATTTGATAATGGACAAATATATGACTAACTGAATTCATTGTATTGTCTAGACACATGAAAACCGCAATGTGACTGGGACTGCATTGTATTTTCCCTATATTTCTCTGCTTTTTTTTTTGGATTTTTTGAATGTAAATACATATATTTCGCCCGCACATGATTTTTCATTTTTGTTGTATGGCTTAACCGCATTAATGGTTGTCCATAAAAAAAAGAGGAGAGAAATAAAGCAAATTCCACTTAATTGTTCAATTTTCATGCGGCATTCACCTGGCTGGCACAAATGGCTCAAAGGGCATACGAAACAGGGCTGAAAACAGAAAGTTCAAAGGCTGGGACCCTGGCCAGATGTTATGACCCTTTGGGGGTCGGCGCTGGCTACCCCATCTCTGTATCGGTTCTCTGTATCCATTTCATATGCTAATTGTGGAGGCCTTCTGGGGTTTTCTTAATTGAATCGTTAAGGGCAGTGATACGCCGAGTCCAGTCCAACCTTCATGGGAGTGTGCGACCTTTGGGATCGTAAATTCCCTCAGACCAGACTCAGATTTTTTGTCAAATTGTATAACTGGGTGATCCCTTAAAGCTCTTGGCCCGTGCATTGTTGCTTATCTCGGCTGACAGCGGTGACAGCAGATCGCAGCTGGATCGTAATCAGATAACTAATACTTATCTCATGTCAGGGGATCGCCTGCGTCATTCCGGGGGCAATTGCACTCCTCCAGAACGACTGACGACCCCACGCCGCTCAAGTTCCGCCCCAAAAGGGAAACAGATCTAACAGAAATCTAACAGAGACAGGAAAGAGATTATCTCACAACGCCCCCGAAAATCTGGACAGCGATCTGTTTATTTATCTTTCCAGGCGGAGGCAAATAAAGCAAAGACTTCAGTCAACGGAAATGCGCAGCCCGCTAAGTCAACATTTATTTTCTAGTTCAAGATTACGATTACGTAGCATTGGGTTGTGGGTCGTGGGGTGTTATGGATCTCCGTGAGCGATAACTCTCACAATGAATCATAAGAATCGTAAAGTGCGTGCTAATACCCTTAAATTGCATATAAAAACATACATTTTATTTTTTTGGGGCTAACGAGCTTATAACGAGAATACATGTATATCTCCAGCCGCAGCATCATAAATTGGTTTAGCTCCATGCTTATCTTTAGGATGGAACAAACAAGCGATTATCGCGTATTTGGCTAGCGTCAGAGATGATTCTTGTTGTGGGACATGATATCTGCGGAAATTTTGCATATAATACCGTCTGCTGGCCATACCAGGGATAGTAACGATTCTTCATTCGAACCGAAAACACATCCCCAACGACGACGATGACAACGAACCGATCCACCAGATTTCTGGTGTTGCTAGTGGTAATTGCATAATACCAGCCGGTCATATCAACCCAAAAATCGCGTCCCGGCCAAGATCCGTATAGGATCCATTGTAGTGCCATTATGGATTCATGGATTTCTATTATTTTATTTTTTTTTTTGCATTTTTTTTCCCGTTCCCTATTCGTTTGGCTTTCATACTGACGAGGTGTATTTTATTTGAAAATCATTGGGTGCGGCACTTGGATACGCCGAACAACACCGAATCAAAATCGAATCCGAATCCGAAATCGTACACCCGTTAACTCGTTACCGTCCGGTAGCTACCGGGATTCATGCTCCTTTGGATAACGTTCAAATCTTTCGGCGACCAAACGAAAATAACATATGCAAGTGAATCGAAACCAATAATCCTCCCACAACCCAAGTATTCCGAGGCGATACACACAACATTCTGACCAACTCCACCCACACCATAGATGGCTTCTAGTCCGGATAATCTCATAGTATTGTGTTCTCTTTTCCAGCTTACCTCTTTGGTGGCAAGAAACCAGGTGAATGCCGCTGCCGCAGGACTCAAGTGCGGCGGCAAGAGCGCCGTGTGTGTGGGACCTCTCTCCTACCAGGATTGCCTCGACGATGTGACCGTCGGCCCGGTGGTGGCCTGCCCGCTCAACACCCGCTGCGTCACCGACGGTCTGGAGATCTGTGTGGCCGTCAAGTCGGCGGCTGTGGAGGCTCCCACGGCGGCTGTCGCCAAGATGGTGACCATCACCGACAGTCCGGTCAGCGAGTCCGCTTCGCTCGTGGAGAGCAATCCCATTCCCAACGAGAGCTCCACCGAAGGACCCGGCATCGCTTCCAGTGCTGCCCCTGCTGAGAACACGTTGGCGCCCGTTGAGACTACTGCTCCTGTGAAGGAAACTACCACCACTGGCGCTGACGGAGCTGTCGAGACAGAGTCCACTGCCCCCAGCCAGGACGTCACCACCACGCAGGCTCCCGGAGAAACCACTCTGGCACCCGGATCGGAGGACACCACCCCACCCACCGACCCCAACGCTCCCCTCGATCCCGAAACTACCACCGCCGCCCCAGGAGAAGTTGACCCCAATGCTCCTCTTGATCCCAACGCTCCTCTTGATCCCAATGCTCCTCTTGATCCCAACGCTCCTGCAGCCACTACGACAGCACCAGGAGAAGTCGATCCCAATGCTCCAATCGATCCAAACTCCCCTCTGGACCCCAACGCACCGGAAGGATCTACTAATGAACCTGGCCTAGTCGACCCGAGCGCACCTGAAGTAACCACTCCCGCTCCTGGAACTCCTGCTGACCCCAACAGTCCCGCCGAAACAACCGATGCCCCTGGAACTCCTGCCGATCCTAACGCCCCCGTTGAAACTACCGCTGCTCCTGGAGAACCTGCCGATCCCAACGTTCCTGCAGGACCAACCGCAGCTCCTGGAGAACCCGCTGACCCGAATGCTCCTGCTGGATCTACCGCTGCTCCTGGAGAACCCGCCGACCCGAATGCTCCTGCTGGATCAACCGCTGCTCCTGGGGAACCCGCCGACCCGAATGCTCCTGCTGGATCTACCGCTGCCCCTGGAGAACCCGCTGACCCGAATGCTCCTGCTGGATCAACCGCTGCTCCTGGGGAGCCCGCTGACCCTAATGCTCCTGCTGGATCTACCGCTGCTCCTGGAGAACCCGCTGACCCGAATGCTCCTGCTGGATCAACCGCTGCTCCTGGGGAGCCCGCTGACCCTAATGCTCCTGCTGGATCTACCGCTGCCCCTGGAGAACCCGCTGACCCGAATGCTCCTGCTGGATCTACCGCTGCCCCTGGGGAACCCGCTGACCCGAATGCTCCTGCTGGATCTACCGCTGCTCCTGGAGAACCCGCTGACCCGAATGCTCCTGCTGGATCTACCGCTGCCCCTGGAGAACCCGCTGACCCTAATGCTCCTGCTGGATCTACCGCTGCCCCTGGAGAACCCGCTGACCCGAATGCTCCTGCTGGATCAACCGCTGCTCCTGGGGAGCCCGCTGACCCTAATGCTCCTGCTGGATCTACCGCTGCTCCTGGAGAACCCGCTGACCCGAATGCTCCTGCTGGATCAACCGCTGCTCCTGGGGAACCCGCTGACCCGAATGCTCCTGCTGGATCTACCGCTGCTCCTGGGGAACCCGCTGACCCAAATGCTCCTGCTGGATCTACCGCTGCTCCTGGGGAGCCCGCTGACCCAAATGCTCCTGCTGGTTCTACCGCTGCTCCTGGAGCTCCTGTTGATCCCAACGCTCCTGCTGGTTCTACCGCTGCTCCTGGAGCTCCTGTTGATCCCAACGCTCCTGCTGGTTCTACCGCTGCTCCTGGAGCTCCTGTTGATCCCAACGCTCCTGCTGGCTCTACCGCTGCTCCTGGAACTCCTGTTGATCCCAACGCTCCTGCTGGTTCTACCGCTGCTCCTGGAGCTCCTGTTGATCCCAACGCTCCTGCTGGCTCCACCGCTGCTCCTGGAGCTCCTGTTGATCCCAACGCTCCTGCTGGTTCTACCGCTGCTCCTGGAACTCCTGTTGACCCCAACGCTCCTGCTGGTTCTACCGCTGCTCCTGGAGCTCCTGTTGACCCCAACGCTCCTGCTGGTTCTACCGCTGCTCCTGGAACTCCTGTTGATCCCAACGCTCCTGCTGGTTCTACCGCGGCACCTGGAGCTCCTGTTGATCCCAACGCTCCTGCTGGTTCTACCGCTGCTCCTGGAGCTCCTGTTGATCCCAACGCTCCTGCTGGCTCTACCGCTGCTCCTGGAACTCCTGTTGATCCCAACGCTCCTGCTGGTTCTACCGCGGCACCTGGAGCTCCTGTTGACCCCAACGCTCCTGCTGGTTCTACCGCTGCTCCTGGAGCTCCTGTTGATCCCAACGCTCCTGCTGGCTCTACCGCTGCTCCTGGAACTCCTGTTGATCCCAACGCTCCTGCTGGTTCTACCGCGGCACCTGGAGCTCCTGTTGACCCCAACGCTCCTGCTGGTTCTACCGCTGCTCCTGGAACTCCTGTTGATCCCAACGCTCCTGCTGGTTCTACCGCTGCTCCTGGAGCTCCTGTTGATCCCAACGCTCCTGCTGGCTCTACCGCTGCTCCTGGAACTCCTGTTGATCCCAACGCTCCTGCTGGCTCTACCGCTGCTCCTGGAACTCCTGTTGATCCCAACGCTCCTGCTGGCTCCACCGCTGCTCCTGGAGCTCCTGTTGATCCCAACGCTCCTGCTGGTTCTACCGCTGCTCCTGGTGCTCCTGTTGACCCCAACATTCCCGCAGGAGGTACCCCTGCTGATCCCAACATCCCTGCTGGTGGTGCACCAGGCTCTTCTGCCGGAGGTGCCCCAGGATCTGCTGCTGGTGGTGCTCCAGGCTCATCTTCTGGCGCTGCTGCTGGTGGTGCTCCAGGCTCTTCGGGATCTCCAGCTGGTGGTGCTCCAGGCTCTTCATCTGGTGCCGCTGCAGGATCACCTGCTGGTGGTGCCCCAGGATCTGCTGCTGGTGGTGCTCCAGGCTCATCTTCTGACGCTGCTGCTGGTGGTACTCCAGGCTCTTCTGGATCTCCAGCTGGTGGTGCTCCAGGCTCTTCATCTGGTGCCGCTGCTGGATCCCCTGCTGGTGGTGCTCCAGGTTCTTCTGGATCTGCTGCTGGAGGTGCCCCAGGTTCTTCATCTGGTGCCGCGGCTGGATCTCCCGCTGGTGGTGCCCCAGGCTCTTCGTCTGGATCGCCTGCGGACCCAAATGCTCCGCTTAACCCACCAACTGGTTCGGTCATTCCATCGATTCCTACCCTGCCTGGCGGATCTGGTTCTTGGAATTGGCAGCAACGACCTAACGCACCCTTCGTGCCACCGTTCTGGAGACCTCATCTCCCGGGACAGAATGGAGAGGCCGCCGGCTCGAATGCTGCTGGAAATGGTGCCGTCAATCCCGTGGCACCCCACCGCCCTCTTCCCTTCTGGCCCAATTGGCAAAACTGGGTGAACAGCTGGCGCAAGCCGACCACCGAGGCTCCTGTTCCCGCTCCTGCCCAGCCCGAAGAGCCCCAGATCCCGTCGCAGCCCGAGGTCCCCCAGCAGCCCGGACAGGCCGAGAAGCCAAGCAACAACAGCCCTGAGACTGCCGAGAGCGTGGAACAGCCCGCCCAGAATCCTCCTGCCTCCAACGAGAACGCCTCTGTAGAGGAGAAGTCCAAGCCCAAGTCCGGCGAGGAGCAGGATAAGAAGAAGCCCGCTTCCGAGGAGAAGGACAGCAAGGAGAAGAAGGACAAGGATAGCAAGGACAAGTACAGCAAGGAAAAGGAGAAGAAAGACTCCAAAGAAGAAAAGGAGAACGAGTCGCAGGGCCCCAAGGAGAACGAGAAGGACGATAGCGAGGACAACGAGCTGAGCTCCAAGGAGAAGAAGCAGTACGTCAAGGATGTGCTGAAGAAGCTGAAGAAGGGCGAGGAGTGCGACGAGGACGACGCCATCCCTGATGTCCGTGACTGCCGGAAGTACTACCGCTGCGAACTGAAGAAGTCCGGCAAGCACAAGTTCGTCCACCTCCGCTGCGACAAGAAGGAGCGCTTCGACTGGCTCGCCCAGTCCTGTGTTCCCAAGGACGAAGCCCGCTGCCTGGAGAAGTAGAAGACCATTCTACTCTCAACTCTCGACCATTGACCATCGACCATCGCCCTCGACCCCTGCCTTCGAAACATTCCCACTGTAGTATTCCAGCTTCATCTAATACGATTCTTACTACGATTTTTTCTTTGCAATGATATTCGGTTTTTTAATCCTATGATCCTAAATAATTTATTATAATATCTTACACTTATTGGTAATATGTAATTTTTTCGTTTTTATTAATAAAATTTCATATATGTATGATGCAATAATGTGAGGTCTCATTTGGGGGAAATACTTTTAGGTGGAAAGTGGCTCTATTTCTCTTAAAGAAAAACCTTCTATAAGGCTTATCCTTCACCATCTGAACTGATTTAAAAACCATATATTGAAGTGGCAAAAATTCCAATAAGTGGCGCACATATTTCGTGTCTTTGAACTTGGCTAATGGGCTTTATGGTCTCTGGCCTTTTTTGCGCAGCTGTTTCACGTCTAGCCTAGTCACCACTTCTCTTGGCCATCCCCATTCCTCGAGTCGAAGTTGCGTCCAATTTACTGATTATGCCCTCCGTCTAAGACCCCTTCTCCAGATCCAGTGAGCCCCCATTACCCTCCCGAACTCCCATGACGCATAATGAGCGGAGGGAACTTTGGCAAAAGTTTCTTGCCCGCTTTTTAAAGTATCTCACTTACACTTGCCAAGTTTCTTGTTTTTGTAGCCAAAGTCCCTCCATTTTTTGCCCCGTTCCAGGATCCATGTAAATATTTAGTGCAGCAGGATAGCGGAATTTTGAAGTGAAACGTAAACACGAGCAAAAAACAGGAAAATGTTAAGGGGGAAAGTGCATTGGCTAAAGGCTCTTTGGACCATTTTTGCCTCTTACCCCATGGTTCTCTTACCCCTACTACCTACTAGTGATTCTGATCCTGTTCCAGGACTAAGACCATCCAGCCAGGAGTGTGGGTGTGTGAAGCAGAGCAATACACTTAAGTTGATTCGCTGTCATCCATTGCAGCTCATTTATCATTAGACGGAGTCACACAGGACTCGGCCTGGCGACAGTTTCAGTGTCGTCTGAGTAGGGAACAGGGCAGGGGCGTAGGCCTTCCACCAAGAGGGACTAAGAGGGCTTCCAAGACCACAAAAGAATTAACACTCAGATAATTCTCTAACTTTAGACCTATATTTTTTTGTATTTTTTAATAAATTAATTGTTAAACTACGCCCCTGCCTTAAATAAGGACATGGGCGCGTCATGGGAGTGAAAAGAAGAGGCGACCACGACAACGACGACGAAGTAATTCAATTTTTATCGTGGGTAATTTTGTAACGAGAAACGAAGCAAGCAAATGCACCGGGCCCGGGGCTGGGTGGGGTCATCAGGGGCTTCCCCTGGTTGGGCCGAGGTCTGGCAGGGGAGAGAGCACGGGGGCTAAGGGGTATAAAAGACAGTCGCTGACCGTGCTGATAAAAGCGAGATGGAAATGTTATACAGCCACTGACAGCGAAAGCCAAGGCTTTAACCCTCTGATGAAATATTTATGAACAGGACACTTTATTTACTAAATAATACTATAAAAAATGCAGGAAATTATCTGGATAAAAACATCTTAAGAATATCTGTTAAGAATATATAGTTTTAAAAATACACAATATTTATTTTTTCAAAGTCGAGGATTATAATAAAAGCGTTATAGTCGAGCGTTAAAAAGAATAGTCTTTTTAGGGAAATATGTATATCATTTCCATTAAGGAACCAAATTAATTTTAAGTATCTATTTTCTAATAAATTAACAACTCAACAGGTAAGAACTCCAAAAAAGAAGCTCTCACTTTAAAGTTTGTGGAGCTCAGAGGTATATTGAAGGAATAGATACCTCTTTATATAAAATAATTGGTTGTAGAGGCAGATCTCCTAAGAGAAGTATGGATTTCAGTTCCATAAAGGCTGAAGTTAGTGCTAAAACTCCAAAAAAAAGGTATAACTTCAAGTTGGAGAAGTTAGAATAAGGGCAATTGTTTTTGAAGAAAAAAAAGTTTCTTTCAATTATCACTGTAAATTTGTATAAAGTACATATTCTTTTCTATATTATATTAAAAATTATGTTATAAAAACTAAAAAATGTAACTTAAAGTTTTAAAAGGTAAGAGATAATTCCAATCCAGACGTATTTAACATAAAGCCGATATCCTATGAGAGATATCTTATCTCAGCATCTTATAAGAGCATCATTTTCATAGTGCCTGTCAATCTATTAAAATTAGAGATAATATTTTTCTATAGTAACACTTAAATACTTCGAACTAAAAAAGGCTCTAAGTTAGAGGCTGTAACCTAAAGTTAAAAGAATTATGAGGTATTTCGAACATAGAAGAAATATTTAAATATTTACCTATAAAGGAAAGTCTCCTAAAAGAATTATAGTTTCTCTCAAATCCTCAAAATGATTAAAAATATGTGTTTCCTTGAAATATTAACTACTAACTAAGTCCATTTATAATTATAATAATAAGGGGGACAAGTTCTGAAAACTTCAAGCTCCACCTTCAAAGATTTCCTCCGAAATATAAACCCAAAAACAGGCAGGTGAACCTCCTTTAAACTGAAGTAATGAATAAAACTTGTTTAATAATAATACATATCTTAGTGGGTTAAGGACCAACGGCTACATGGATAGAAAAAGATGCGACAAAGCAGGGAAGGCGGGATGGCTAGTGAGTCCAGGAGGGTGGTGGTGGGGGTGGTGTCGTGACACGGCGTGGTGCAACGCAATGTGCGACCATACGTTGAAAATTCAATTTGCCTGATGACTTGCTGTGGTTTAAATACGGCCAAAAAGCGACAGCGCACAATAAACTCATTGCCGCCGTTGTGGCCAAAAGGATAAAAGGCGAAACGGACCAGATAGAGGTGGGACGAGGATGTGGGACGGCAACGAGACGGGCACCATGGCTACAGGATCCATCCATCCAGACCGGGCCAGGCCAGGCCAGGATCCATCCAGTTTGCACATTATATACTTATCCATATACGATGTGCGATGTGTACAAAAAATTAAAAGAGCGGTCACAAAAATACAAAATAAATAAATAAATAAAAATACAAAAACGAAAAAAAAAAAAGGAAAGAATGTAAAAGTATAAAAAATAAAGCCAGTTGGTAGAAAAAAGCAACAACAGAATGAGACAGCAGCGCGCAAAAAGCGTAAACTTTGTTAACTCCATTTGACAACACGGCAGAGTGGTCCATGGTGTCTATCCATAGTGTCCATGGTGTCCAGTGTCCCATGTCTGATGTCCAGTGTCCTGTGTCCTGGATTCGAGCCACATGGACCCACTTGAAGCCGAAGCCTCGGCTCGTCGTTGATTGCATTTCATGCGCTTGGAAAATCAATTTTTATTTAATTAATGTGCCTCGTTGCATGCATTACACATATGCAGCCGGCTGCTGGTCTGATGGCTTTGAATTTACTGGGTTTTTGGTCATATATAAAAATCCCTGGCTCTCCCAGGCTATCCCGAGCTATATATAGGTTGATTTTTATGCTGAAACTTTCCCCAAAAAACAAGGATCTTAGTTTAACTGACGGGCTGCGATGGACAAAGCTTAGATTACGTTTTTGGGAAAAATTTTAGAGAACTTAACAAGTTATAGTGTAAATGATGATTTTTAGACTATATTTATTTTTAATTAACAAGCCAGATCTTAATTTTTATTTTAGTTAATAATGTATCACAATATTTATATTATAGATCTTGAGGTTTGAATTTTAATCCGACTTTCTTGTATGAAACCTACTTAAATAATAAACCACTCACCTTTCAACCATTTAATATATATAATGCTTTATATAAATAATGCTTCTTATTAAATTTATGTTTAGATTATATATATTTTTAATTTATAAATCAGATCTAAGCCAGAATATATTACTATGTATATCTTTGATATATTTATTGAGCTTTCATTTTAATCCGACTTTCTTTTATAAAACCCAATTAAATAATAAGCCTCTCACCTTTGAATGAATAAACCTTCATATAAATAATGCTTTTTATGTAAAAAACCACTAATAACTTTCTTAAATTATTATCATAATCATAAAAGAAAAATATTTTAAGAACTACATGGTATACCTTTTTTGAAAAAACCCCCAAAATTAGTTGATTTCTGGTTAAGCCACATTTTGACAAACTTCTTAAGCGGAATGGAATCCAATCTTTAAGCCTCCTACTTGCCAGAGTCTCCAAGCTGCTGAAGTCCTTCGGGCAATGTGACTCCCACACACTCCTGCCGGGCGAGGATGGGGTGGCCTGGCTGGCTTTGGGAATTCGGGGAGAGAAGCCAGTAACATCAATCAGCGATCCCATCTAAATGCCATCAAATGGCATTTCCCGCTGCCTCCTGGAGCCAAGGAGCGCACAATGACGCCGCGGGGAGTTGCCGCCAAGCGTTGGTTGGGTGGATGGTTGGCTCCTCCTCATCCTCCTACTCCGTGGGTGTTTGTGGATCTGCGCCGCATGCAAGGTGCTGCAACAAACAATGCCAGAGCTCACTAACGGGCAACTTGTACTTGTATATTTAATATTCACATTTCAATTGTTTTTTTTTTGTTTTTCCTTTTTTTTTTTGTATGGCCGTGGGTGGATGGGGGAGTGGAAGTGGGTGGCTACCTTTCGAGTGGGGTTCATTGCGCAATTTTGCCCCTTTAGGTTCTGGATTCCAGGATTGCCCAGTGCTGTGCTGAGAGATTTCCCAGTGTTTGCTTTGACTTTTGAGCTTTCCTTTCCTTTTCGTCCCGCCGACGGACTACCGAAGGACTCGAGCACTGTGGGGCACTACTACCCCTGTACCGTCATCCTTGCCTTTTATTTATAAAATTTTCATAAAGTTTCGTGTTATTAAAAATGGAATATATTCTCGCGCGAATACGCAATGGAATATTAATAGCATGGAAGAGCTTGCATTTTAATACGAATCTACAAATGGCAACTATATTAAGTGGAAACCCAAATTCCATTTGCCAGTCTTACATTCTCAGCTCCCTCCGGATGAACAAATGGGTAAAGTCCTTGGCCTGTCAATGGGAAATCAGCGACCTAGACTTACGGGTCAATCGCTACGTGTTCGTTTACTGGACCGGGATACACCAAAAATAAAAATATTTGGAAATCTTAAACGGGGTGCCCTAGTATTTCCTTTTTATTATAAATTACATTTTAATTAGAAAAGGTTCACTAACTACCTTAACATAATCTTAAAATACTAGACTAGGCCAAGATATTTAAGCTGCTAAGAAAATCAAAAGTTATTCCTCTTTAAAGACCCTCCCAACATATCCTCATTTTTTTTTCGCAGCGTCCACCCACGCATATCCCAGAACTGGACGAACGTGCCGCGTCAAAGAAAACATCCTCAGCGGTTCCGGGGGCTAGCCATGGCCATAATAAATCAACCGGCCACCTTCAGATCCAGCTCCGGCTACCGAGCCAGTGCCAGTCCATTTGACCCAGTAAGCGAACCCAGGACTGGTGCCAAAGTTCGCAGCCAGTCGAGCCGAAATGCTGCTAAGGTGTTGCCGTTTGTGTTTGCCGCTTTCACCCAAAAGGTAAATCCAGGTGACCGTGCGGGTGAGTAGATGGGTGGATGGCCGAGGGTCCTCCGTACGGGGTAATTGCCTTGAAAGGCCGCTGAAAGCCCTCAAACAAATTATAAATTGCCGGCAACCGGCGCGAGGCCTGGCTCAAAAGGAGCTTACTTGTACAAAATTTGACGTCGGCGGGCCCACTTCAACTGACTCATTACCCCGGAACGGCTTGGCAATGCCTCCATCTCCATTGGCATCGCCCATCGTCTCCACCTTTTCCTGTCTTATCTGAGGCTGCTGATCCATCAGCCGACTCCTACGGCTGGCCCTGCGTCCTGACTTTATGAGCCCGCCGTGAAGCATTTTCTGATTGCGTGTGCATTTTTAATGCGGCCTGCCTTTTGGTCTTGGTTCTGGTCCTGGTCCTGGTCCTGGTCTTGGTCCTTTGGCCTTTCAGCCGTTCCAGTCATTTCAGTCACTTCAGCCACTACGCACTTCATTCATCAATGTGCCCCGGCCTAAAAGAGCTCCTCGGTTGCCCCACTCTCCTGCCACATCCTCCGGCCACTCCTGCCAAGACAAATGATGATGTGTATCCAGATTCGTTTCCGACATTTCCTTTTGTTTCATTCCGCGCCGAGTGACCTGGACCTGCTGCTCGGCTCCTTCAGCTTTTCCTTACTTTGATTTTTATAAATTTTATATGGCACATCGCCTTTACCAGCTCCCTCGACCTGTTCCGCCGGCACCGGCACCATCACCGGCACAGCGCCGACTACGGCTCCTGCTACGCTCACGCTGTTCACTAATGAAATATGAATAATTAAAACTGTGTTTTCTTTTTGTTTTACTTCATTTGGAGTTCATTATTTTTGGCTCACTGCATTTGCCGGCGTATACCCGGCTACCCGGTAACCCATGCTCCCCCACCAGCCACCTGTTTCTGTTTAGTATTTGATTTTTAGAATTGCGAACGGGGTGGGGTGGGTGTTGGGGGTGGTGGGTGGTGAGAGTCCTGCGTTGTCATCCTGGCGAAAGGATTCCCCGAATTCCAGCTAATTACGCCGGAGCCAATTATTTTTGGCAATTATTTATGCAGAAGCTTTTCAAAAAACCAGCACTGGCGGCCAGGTGCTGGCTTAACCAGTGTTGTAAAATATTACATTTAAATCGCGCCATAGAGATGGTTCTAATTTGCTTGCTTTGGAGAAGCTTATGTTATTTATTTTAAAATTAAACATTTTATAGATTTTAAAAATCTTATAAAAGATCATTTTATATAAGTGCTTTGATTTTTCTATATAAATTGGATCTAAAAACTGTTTCTTAGATAATTCTTCTGAAAATGTTGCATTTATTGTAATATTACCATTATTTTCATTATTATTTTATTGTAAAAGTCATTTACAATTCATCTAACACAATTTTTACGCCCCAGAAACTAAAGCCTTTTGGTAGTTTCTTTCTATTAATAATAAGCAATTATAGATTTTATTAGTTTTATTAAACTAACTTCTTCTAACTTCTAAAATGTTTTTATATTAAGTGGTGTGGTGTAATTAATTTATTATATTTTGTTTTTTGCTATTATTGGCTTGTATTATGTTTAAAAAAAATGTCTATTACGAAAAAGAAATTGTTTCCATTTTTTTCCAATTCGTACAAATGCGCACATATTTTTAGAAAGTCTCCAAAAAATCACATTTTGAAAAGCCCATTGCATTTAGTTAACGCATTTCTAGTTACAACGTACAAGTGTGTTAGTGATGTAAGCGCCAAAAGCTTTGTTATCGACTGTTATCGACGGCCAAGATCAAGGAACTTGTCATCTTTATATAGCGGGACATGTTGTAGAAGAACATATGTTGTGGAATTGGAAATTCATTCAAATCGAACGAACTAAGTAGGCGGCGCTTTTTAGATCACAGCTACTGTCGATACAGTTTCTCATTCATCTCCGACGCCTCGACCTGATCACAAGACGTTAGCATACGGAAGTAATAAGGAAATCGTAAAAAAATCGAGTAAAATGAATTTCTATCTGGAGCACATTTTGACTGGCGACAAGATGTACTTGATCCGCGGAGACAACACCCTAGGTCGGAATGCATCCTGCACCTGGATCATGAACTACGAATACGTGTCGCGGTTCCATGCAGTGATGGTGGTTAAACGCAAAACTCTTTTCATCAAGGAGCTGGTAAGTTGTTGTTTTTCCCTAGAGACGAAGGCCCCTAATAATAAGAATGTGCTTCCATTGTCCCTAAAAAAAAAAAGGATGCTCGCAATGGTGTCTTTCTAAACTACAGCCGTATCGGCAGTGAATTGCACGAAGTTTTCGTGGGCGATGATATATCATTTGGCGTCGAAATTGATCCTATGGTGGAACAGGAATTACCAATCACCTTTGGTATCTTCACCGTCAAGGCGGAGCCGGCTCCGCTTGCTATTCTAGATCTGAAAAAACGCAATAACGGAGACAGGGCTCCGCCAACCAACAACCCTCCAATCAAAGTCGTGGCCCAACCCCCCAACACCGCCACCAACCCCAAATCCAACCCCAACCCCTCCAAAATCGGGAACACCGTCGCTTGCTATTAGGACGGAACAGGAATGTGGAGAGAGAGCATAGAGATTACATTAAACGGCGGCCGAATGCAAATGCGCCGCACTTGAGGACAAAATCCTTTTTAAGGCGTTAATTTGCCAAGCCCGATAACAGAAGAGATACACCAGCAAGCTCAAAAAACAGACATGCAAATGGCCATCCAAGGAGTCTAGCAGATGATCCTTGGAGTCCAGCAAAAACCACAACAATGCAACGTTAGCAACGATTTAGGAACGAATATTAGTAACAAGAGACAATATTCGTTCCTACATAGAACATAATATTTTAAGTATAAGACACTTTAATTCTTTTTTTGATAAAAAGATGGCAGCTAAGATGACGAAATACCTTAAAGTCTGCCTATAATCGTTGTATTCCAAAAATAACACTTACATATCAGCAGATGTATAAATATTGTCATACAATTTATGAAATAAAATTGTCAACCATTATATTAATATTAGTTTATATTTAAGTTTTTGTTTATTATTATTAAAGTAGTACATATCTAACCAGTGCTGTGGAACTTAATTTCCTCAGAGATCTCAACCCTTAATGCTCTGTTATTTGTGGCACACAATTTAGCATGTAATTATGCGGGGAACAGGGCATTTTCGAGTGGAGCTGATGCTACGTGTGGGGATTTGGGCCGCTGTCTTATGACAAAAACACCACAATTGGAAATCCTGCGTGGCGACATCCTAAACCCCCCAATAGTCCTGTGTAGCCCTGTAACCCACACCCATCCAGACACCCGGTCGAATTCCCCCCCATCACCCAAAACCCATCCTGGCAATAGCAAATGCATTCTGCTCGTTGAATTTTAATTGCGGCCGCTCACTGACCCAAAAGGATATAAAAATCCTTTCCCTCCTGTTTGCCAAAACAACAAATTACAGTACAACTTGAGATTGAGCGAATATTTATTTAAGTGGAGTTTATGAATAATATTACAAGGGAATATATGTTTTATTTTTGTTAATTTATAAAAAATAATAAACTTTTCGTTTTTTTCAACAATTTTGAATTGTTTTGGTTTGATTTTTATGTCAAAATATTATATTTGTTAATAATAATGGTAATAGAATAGTAGTGTGGTAGTAGTATTAGTATTAGTAGTATTACTTTGACTTTTATGTCCAAATATTTAATTTTTTTGAGACAATAATGAATGAAATTGTTTAAAGAGTCCTTTTAATACCTTATTTTTAACTTAATTACCTTCTTTTTTAATAACCTTTGAAACCATTGATTTTATTTTTAATAAAACATAGTATTCTTCATTCTTTGGTTATATTGTATAGTATAGTAGCTCAATATAGTAGCGGTTCGTCACCTATTTAAACGGTAGTCCTTAAATTCCTTTAATTACCTTTAATTATAAGCAAGTATTAAGAGGTAAGTTTTTTGAGTTTTTATTTTGGAAAATTTAAATTAACTTTTCATTTTTGTTTTCTAGATTTTTTCCGCTGAAGGATAAAGTTATTTTATCTTAAAAACTCCTTGGCTTAAGGTAAGAATTTTATTCAATTAGCTTACAAAATGTTTACCAAAATACAGACTTTAATAAAACCTCCTCATGTTTTATTAAAAATTCCCCCTTTTCCGCTTTAAGAGTTTTCACTTTAAATTATTACCCAGAATGAGAAATCAAAAGCGTTCTTTTTGGGGTAATTTTTCTCCCTTTTTTTTGGGAAAAGGGGGCTTGGGCTTAACCCTTTTCCCAATCATAACGCTTTTAGTGTCGACGCCTCTGACTAATTTGTCACTTTTGTTGTCGCCTTGGTCACTTTTTTATTTTTTATTTTACTGTCGCCTCTTTTTTTATGCATGTATAGGAATTTTTTTTTTGGGGAAATGGAAAACCCTTTTCAAGGGCAATTTTGTATTCAAATAATGTTGCTTTTTGCTCGCCCCTGTTTATCCATCTGGGGGTCTCCTCGCCTCGCCTCGCCCCGGCTCTCCTGCTCATCTCATTTTGCAGCCGGTACGTGTTTGGTTTTTTGCTCTGCAATATCAAATACCCGTCCTGTCACGCCCCCTTGTCCTTTGACTGTCATCCTGTCCACCTCCTGCCAGTGTCCTCCAGTCCGTTGGTCGGTTGGTCCGTATTTTACCCCGCCAGAGTTCTCATTCGCACGTAATTAGCTGTTAATTTGGACTGCCACTTGGCAACCGGGCGTGCATTTTACTTTCTAACTTTTTCATTATTCGGTTTTATTTCGGTTTTTATCCGGAGGGTGGAGGAAGTGGGGGATGGAGCGGTGGTTTGGGGTTTTTGGCGGAAAAGCATTCATAGGGAAATTAAGGGAAAAGCGTTTTTGATTTGCCACAGGAGAAATGGCTGGGAAACGGCAAAGTTTATTAGTTGTCATAATTACTCCACTGTTTTCCCATTTTATTGGATATGTTTGGTTTTCATTTCTGTGGGGTTTTCGGGTTATGGTTGGCTTTTTTTTTATTTTAGGATATTGTTAGGTAATTTTACAGTTAATTTTAGATTTTTTTTTTGGGGGGGAACAGGAGCAAAAAAATGTGTCAGAAGATACATATGAGGATTTAAAAAACATATTTTATTAATAATATTGGTTTAGTAAAAGTTTTCTAAATATTAAAAGTAATAAGCTTTAATCTAAAAACAAGCTCCATATCTATAGATATTCCCCTATATAACATAACCCTAAGCCTTTAAGCTTCAGTATTATTTCCCAAAAAATCTTCAAAAACCTTTAAATTAATTTTATTCTTTAAACCCTACAGCTCGAAACTCCTTCCATTGACACATGATAAGGTTCGAACCCTGAGCTTGTGACTTAGGAAAGCCCCTCTGGTGAAGAAAGTCCACCCCGGCCAGAGGCAATGGTCAGTGGGCGGTGGGTGGTGACCCCATTGAACCCTCTGACAAGCAAATTACTTGACCGGGCCACACCAACCACAAGTCAAGGTATGGCAGCCAGCCGTTAACTTTGCAGCTAATTATAAATGAAATCCGATATCAAAAGGCACACGGAGACACGCCTTTGTGCAACAAACACACACACTACCACACTCATTGTCAAACACACACAAACACACACACACAAATGTATACAACACCAAACACATAGACAATGTCAATTCATTTGGAGTTTTGGAGTCTAGGACACTTGAAAAAAAAAATGTATGTATGTATGTTTTTTAAAGATTAATTATAAAAAAATGGCAATATTAATAATGAGACTTTTAATTTATACATTTATTATTTTAAAACAATTTATAGGTATATCTTAAGGGGTTTCTGATTTTTATAGAAAATATGAACTATTTCAAGTTTTAAACTTTATAATCGAAGACCATAAAACCTTTAATTATTTCCCAAGAAATCAAATAATTTTTCATTTATTTTTCTTTTGATAATCATCCTATTCTCTGTACTTGAAATTAAAATTATTTTATTAATTTGTTTTGTTAGACAAACCCCATTATTTTTCGTTGTGCACTTGGCGGCCGCCAGTCAACTGCGGGCTGTGGCTCTGAGCAAACAAACAAATAATGAAAACAGCACGAGGGGGGCGGGAAAATGAGCGGGTGGGGGGCAGAGGTGGGCGTGGGCCCAGAACAAAGTGGAAAATTCATAAAATGTCATTGTCGCTTTATTAAAACGCGCCAAAACCTTCACGTTACATTCCCCGTTTGCCCTCCATGCCACCCACCAAAGGATCCAGCTTCGTTTCTAACACACATATACACGGAGAGAAATTGGTAAAGGTTTTATAGAGTTAAAGGAAGTTTTTAATGGTTTCATTTAGGGTTTAGTATAAAATAAATATAAGGAATATATATAGGAAAAGATATACATATTATTAAAAGTGTTTCTATTAAATGTTCAGGTTTTTATTAAATATCTATGAGTGGATCTTTTGGAAAAAAAGTAAATATTTCCTATATTAAACTATAATTTATCTATATAAAAAACTTCTGAGCTATTTCTTAAATTTGAGGTAATAATTAATACTAATAAAATGATGATAATAATAACCCATATGATATGGATATAATTTTTTCTAAATCCCCAATATCCCCAACCTTTTCTCGCTGTGCACTCACATATAGATGACATAGATGTCAGGAAGGGGGCGATCAGAGGCGTTGGGCTCTTGGAGGGGTGGCTTTGGTGCTTTGGCAAATTGGGCGGACGGCGACGTTGTCTGCTTTGCCATCGACAGCTGTTGGCGTCATTTACAAAAGCTTTTTGGCCGTTTTATGGGATTTTGCAACAGTTTCATTTTCATTTTGCGCAGGGCGCACCCATGCAGGGATAAGAGGGTTGCCAGGAGGGGCATGGCCAGTGGCGGTGTGTGTGTGGCACGGGGCAGCAGTGGGGCCATACAGATGGTTATGGAACTGGGTGGGGGAGGGGTGGTAGGGGGTCGCATAATGCCGCCATTAGAAGTTGCCGCCAAGCACTTGCTAACGCCAAAAGATGATGATGAGCAGCAGCAGCAGCATCAGCGACAGCAACAAGGACCATATGTGCGTGTATACGAAAGTGCATACACTGTTACAAAAGATGTATTTGAATTATTTATAATATTTTTTGAAAGCTTTATTTATTGTCTAATCAGAATCAGTAAACAAAATTTGAAAAATTGTTGGCTTTAAAAAGGATTTCATAATGTTTTCTTTGAAATTCAAAAAACTATACAAATTTGAGCAACTTTTCTCAATTTGTTTCAAACTCAGGACGTAATTGTATGGATTATTTTAAAGCTGAAACTATCAAAAAAATCTAGAGATAGTTAAAGATCAATATAAGCTCTAAAGTTTGACTCATAGAAATTTTTAAGCAATAATCTAATCGTTTCTAAAGAGGTTTTCTAAAAGGTACCTTAGGAAGAGCGTATATTTTTAAAAAGAAATATATTTAGAATCAAGCCACATAGTATTTGTTGTGTAATATTTTTAGTAAATAGTTAATTATATTTACTCTTTACTATTAAAATTATTTAAACAG